CTACAATTCAAATTCAATCGTAAGCCTTCAGCCTCCACCTCAGGATTTGGGGCAGATCTATACTTTCGGTCGTTCACCTGTGCTTCCCAAAAAGAGAAACGGTTTGTTCTCGAACCCCATCAAGGCGCAGCATTGGGCATATGAAACCACAGCTCCCTCTGCTGGTGGATATCAAACGGTCAGCAGGGACCCGGTCCAGAAAGAGGCCACCGCAGCGCCTCAGTCCATTCTGGTCAAACCAGACGCTCATAAGCACAATACAGAGAAGGTAAAACAGCTCCTGCAAGTGTTTTAGGGCTAAGAGTTGTGATGATCTAGGATTTAATGGGATAGTTCACTCTCAAATGCTCACAAATATTCAATTGAATTACATCGGCATGTTTTGTTGTTGTTCTTTTAGCCAGTAAAGTCAGTGCGGTTCCTGACTCATGATGCTCCTCAGAGATCAAAAATGGCGTCTGCAGGACAAATCTCTAGTTCCCAGCCTGGTCTTTCGGCTCTGGACCACTGGAACCCTTCAGCCATCTTGGGTCGGGATGGAAGTACATTAGTTCTTAAAGACACAAAAACACTCGCACCCAGAAAGAGCGCAGGCCCGGATCATGCTTCTATGGACTGCCTCTCGCTAAATATGAAGCCAGTACTGATCAACAACCAGCCCGGCTCTAACAGGTGGGTTTTCTTGAGTGTGTCTTTAAAAGGAAGCATTGCGTTATCTGATCGAATGGCTCCTGTGTTGCAGATTAGCTAGAAATGAGTGGCAGATTTTTTTTCTTCCATCTTAGCAGATACAGTATTTTTTACGAGATTTATTGAGATAATTCACCGAAACTGTTTTAACCGAAAAACATTTCCTGTCAGAATCTGAAGAAGCATTTAGATATCCTGTATAGCACATCCTGGCATTTGGTGCATTCTGACCGGTGCATTCTGATCTGATTTCTTCAGATATCGAGTAATGAAAGGTTACAATGCTAAAACGGATGCAGAGCTCACGCTGACGGAAGGAGAAATAGTCGTCGTTCAGAGGCCTTGAGCGGACGGAAGGCTTTTCGTGACCCAGGAGATCAGTGGAAAAACAGGCCTTTTCCACAGCAGCGTTCTGGAAATCCTAGACAAAGTGCTTTGAGTGCCACAGTTTCTTCTGCACGTTCTTCGTCCAGTGATGTTTATAGTCACACCGTTTTAGCCTGTTGGTTCATAAATCTAAATTAAAAGCAATATCCTGTGTGCTTATGTATGACAAATCACGTCGTGTTTCTAGACACACCCACCTGGCACAAAAACTTGTAGGTTTTCCCTTCATCATTAGTCAGTTCTGACAGATAAACGTGCCTTTTTGTATGTTGAGTCACAGTTTGCACTTTTAGATGGGGTGAGAGTTGGGGAAGGTTGTTGATTCTAGGAAACTAACGATTATCTATGACTGTTGGATAAAGGGAAGCCTAATGATGACTTACTCGACTCACAAAATCCTGTTGTTTCAGTACAGTAATGGTGGATTTGTTTTGTTGTATAAAACGTCATCGCATCTATATCCTGACGATGCGATTCTTCAACATTCCTGTTCTCAGTCCCTTTTTTGAGGGGAATTTTGGGAAGATGGTTGAACAAATAATAATAAACAAAAAAGACTTCGGAATTTTCTACTGATGGGATTTTTGCCTTTTATTAAATTGAATTTGGTAGGACTGTTATTATTGTTTACATTAAAATATGAAAACATTTTCTCCTTTTGCACATAAAAAACCAATCCAACAGCAGCCACTTCACATTAATTGATTGTCATATCAGAGAATACAGACTGAAGCAGAACTAAAAAATTATATAATTCCGTGACAATGGGATAACACTGATGATAATCAGATTGAAAAAACGGACGATAAGAATACTAAGCAATTAAATGATTTTTAAGGCAATTGTATTCTTTTTACATGTAATCTGGATTACTTAATCCCATTCCAAAAATACTTGTAATTAGATTATATTACATTTTAAAATACTCGTTATCAGACTACAGTTACTTTTTTATTGATTACATGATTACATATTCACAGGTGTTTGCCTTTGGAAGGCTTTTGTCTTTCAAACACTTTAAAATGCACAAATTCACGTCTTATTTAGCTACATGCAATGCAGGCATTCCCAAACTTCTTTTGTCAGCCGAACCTCTTTCACCTAATATATTTACTTAAAGTCCCCTCAGATTTTAAAGTAATAAATGAATAATTCAGTAACACATTTGCATGTTAACAGTCCTCTGATGCTGGTTAATGGTCACGTGACATGTGGGTAAACAAAAAAGTTTCATGTTTTTTAGTAAGTGTTTTGATTGTTGTTATTTTTAAATTATTTATTTTTAATTTTACATTTTTATGATTTAATTATTAGCTTTTCATTATAAACACAACCTTGTGCTCCCCTCCA